GAAAGCGATACATCTCAATTTAAAACTTATTTCAATTACTTAAAAACTCTTTTAAAAGTAAGTAAAACTGATGAATAAAGAAACATGAACGAGTAATAAACTATGTTATAGCAAAAGCTATTTAACTTTCATTTCTTTTTTTAATTGATAAATAATTTCATAACATTTAAAAGCTTCGAAATAAACAATTACTTAATTGATTTCAATCGAAAAAGATATAACAAAATAGAGAATATGTTTAATTACTTTTTATTAATATAAAATATCGATTAGTAAATGCTGATGATTAATATATCTAAAAGAATTTAATGTAATCAATAATTTAACTTAAAAATTCTCTATTAACAAAGAACAAATAGAATGATTGTATACTTTATATAAAGAAGAATAAATAATTTCGCCGTCATATCTTTCTCTGAAAAATGATAATACTACTCTTGAAAAATCAAATCATTTTTGATAAAAAAATTTTTAAGTACAAATCAATCATGGTTGGTTCCACAGGAGAAGAGGTTGATTAGAGATTACGAGACCAGTTCCGGATCCGATCATTGAGCTTGGTCCATAAGAAAAATATTTGCCGGGATAGAAACTCAAGTTTATAGTAAAATATTCTATGATTTTAAGCAAAATTATCTTATAAATCATATGGATTAGAACATAATTGTAGAGACATGGCTCAAAAAAGTAGTAATCATTGACTGAATAAATCAAAAAAACCAGTATTGAAGAATTATTTTAGATGTGATAAGAATAAATTCTGAAGTTCCGTACGCCTCTAGGACTGAGCCTTTCCATGGAAAATTATAAAAATTGTTGCAAACGGTAGTCACGTAAGAAAGCCTGGGACACATTCAGTCCTTCTCTGACTAAAAATCCTGACGTCGCTACTATTTCTCTCGTCAATTTAGAGTATTCTTCAATGAAAATTGTCATGTCATTGTGATGACTACGATGAAGTCGAGTAAAATTCTGTTTCATTCTTTCAGATCTAACAACAGCAATCAAAGAATCTATGTTCGCACAATCCATCTCAATCAATTGTAGCATATGAATCGGCAGATACTTGTCTTGAATAATAGAATGTCAATTGAAATTAAATTTAAACACTCGTTTGTAGTCTGTAAAGCTCGATTATTCATAGAAAGATGATAATAAGATGAAAATTATTTTGTTTTCTCTTGTGGTTATAAATACATTTTATATCTATCTATTGTTTGTTATTCATTGTATTATTTTTCTTTTTACATTAATTTCATAACTATTTATAATTATATTTAGTTTATTATTATTGTTTGAATTGATTCAAAACTTTATTCAATATTAATCTTCGTCAATCGATTAGTGAAGTATTATCAAAGTATTGAATCACTTGTAAGAAGAAACTTAGACTTTTTTGTTTTGATAATCATATTATTCGACGAACGACAAAGAATTTTTCTTTCTGAATGTTAATATAAAATTTTTTTTGATTTTTAGTATAGCTTCGAAATGTTCTCTGTCAGACACTATGTAGATAATGGTTCTTCTTTTATTAAACCTAACTCTAGAAATGCCTAACAGAAAAACTCGTGATGTAATTATACTTTGTATGCAAAATTCTCCTAATAATAGAGTCTAAGTGTACTGAATGTGTGAGTCATGAATCTCTAACACTGCTGAACACAGCCGATTCTCGATCACTTTAGTTGGAGAAAAAAAAGTCCTGATATATACAGAAAAGCTTGTTTTTGACACAAAAAAAGATGCAAAAACAATCCCAATTCTCTGTCATAGTATGTTCGATCGAGCTGAAATTTTTTAACGAGTATTGAACACTGCTTGGAGCGCCTATTTGTTGTTTGTTTTGAAAAATATTGCGCCATTGATTTTTGGCAGATTTTCTCTAGTAAAGAAAACATGTATCTTTAGAGTACGCATCCCAAATAGTGTTTAGTATCTGTAACAAAAACTCCAGCTCTGTCGGACTTACTGCGACTAAGAAAACGGAGCAATTTTTAGTTTCTACAACCCAGATATTTCCTAAAACAAAGTATTTGAAAATTTGGAGACTATGACAACTTTTGCTCTATTCATCAAGATCTATTCATCTTGTAAGTTTCAAATATTTCTTATGAGTCATTCTTCAGAAACTCGGAAAGAGGAGGCATTCTCTTAAGAAGAAAGCTTCAGATCTTTTGACATGCTCCTAATCTTGAAATAAGAACAATAAATCTGTCGGTTTACATGAGTGATGTTAAAAGACACGTTTTTTCTATAGTTGTATCTTAGAATCGGAACAGCGACAAGATCCAAAACATTCACAAGAAACTATTCTTGTCAAGACTTGTCTGTCGAAATTCGAAAATCAATTTTTCTGCAAAGAACTACGACATTCATTTAAAACATACTGACAAAAGTACAGTATCTCCGCAGTAGAGTACAAAATTTGAAAATATATGTTTTTTAATATTTCTGTTCAATAGTGATATCTTTCATCACATAGTTAATCGGTCGTTCTATTAAACTATCAGCGATGTGTCACAGTAATGTAACCCGAGAGTTAAGTGTCCATACCCGTATCTCGGTACGGATAAATAATTTCTGTTCGGATCCGGTAAAAAATTATACTCATGCAGAACATAGTTCAATTCCCAATATGTTGCAATATTCTATTCTATAGAAATAAGTTAAGGGCACGAACTCTTTTCAGAATATTCATATCACATTTAGGTTTACATAATGCATATAGTCTTCATTCAAAAGCAATTTATTAGTTCGAGAATTTCCCTTGTGAGCTTTGATCTTTTTATTTGTTAGAATTAAATATCTTTTTTTTTTTTTGTTAATCTTTTAATAATCTAGAGTATCGAATACATAATATTATTATAGGGAATAATCTTAGGTCTTCGATTGCATGATACAAATGTGTGATGGTAATTTTTTTTAATGTTCTTCGACAAGAGATGATTTGAATTTCAAACAGATCCGAGACTATATTATGTTAATTTGGTTGTCTATATAAAAATAGAACAAAAAAACAAAAATGATTGTGAAAGCAAAAAAAAAAGAAGAAGAAGAATCGTTTGTATAATTTAAGATTTCCTGTTTCTAATAAAATATATAAAATACTTGACAAGTGACGTTATACTTGCACTAGATTTACATTAATTAGAAATGACTAATCATTCCGCTTGAATCAATATTTAATGATTCTATATTATTATGATTGTTATAGACATGATTTGTCATTTGAGTTTGTTGTTGTTTTTTCTTTTTATAAAAAATATTACTTCTTAATGTTTTCTTGATTATTGAATAATAATAGAAGTTTTTTTTTTTTTTTCTTCTTTTGTCTGTATTACTCTTTTTTTGAGAAATGTCACAATAAGCATAACCAATAGATATGAATGAATGAGTGACATGTAGAGAGACACATCAAAGTCAGTATATTCAATTGAGACATTGTTTCTTTTTATTCCATCTGTTTGTATTGAACATCATCATTAATGTTGAACAAATTATAAATCAGTCATTGAAATGATGAGAAAAGATATCTAGACATCTGTCAAGTTAAAAAATAATAAGAGAAACATAAATGTATTCAGTCTATCGTCTCTCTTCTCTATTTTTTTTTATTCTTTTCTGTTATTTCAAAAATTTCCCTAATTAAATTTGTCGAGATGATGAGCGTTGTAGCGACACAAAATCAATTTTCTACATCCTATTGCCATAAGTTTGATCGAAAGAGTCTTTTAACGATATTTTGTGATTTCTTTTTTTTTTTTTTTTGAAAGACATTAGAATGCACGAGAAAATGAATGAGAACGATGGAAATAAGTACAGGTGCTTTCGTTTCATTGAACAAATAATAAAAGTAAATATATATATATAGAGAGAGAGAGAAAAAAAAGTCGATGTTAGTATTTAAATTAGAAAAAGAAAACATTACTATAAATGTAACATTGATCTCTTATGTTTTTTTTTTTTTCTTCAGAAAACAAATAGTCACGATCAATCAACTATGATTTTCTTTGAACATACAAGCTTTTGACGAATGTTTGTCTTATTATAAAAATAACAATACAAAGGTAAAAAAAAGAAAAACGACAATGACGATCTACACAATTTTTTTGGTTGCTTGATTGAACTAGTTATGAGTTATATATATATATATATATATTTTTTTTTCTTTCCATGTTTCTTTTTCTTTTGATAATTATATTGAATATATAAAACGCAAAAGCAAAAATCCCCCATGATGGACAAATTTTGACCGTTTACTGATCGAATCTAATTTCCTAATTGTTTTAATGTGCACGCACGCTCGATCGTACAACAAGAAAAGCATCTTCTATTTGTGATCACTGACTAAAATTGGATAGTAAAATGATGATTATTAGAATTTGCCGTTCATTAACTTTTCTATTAGAATAGATTAGAAAACGCCATCATTATTCACACGCGTTCAACAAGATGATTATCGCATCGATCTTTTACTATGTTGTTGCTTATAACAATGACGACAATGTCTTATGTCAATATACTGATGTCGTGAGCTACAAACATTTTTCTTCTCTTTTTTCTTTTTTTTTTTTTTTTGGTTTAACATATAAATTAATTCTTTTCTTAGTTGTTCATTCTTACTATAGTGGTCGACAAAGCAATGATGATTTTCCCTTTTTTCCTCGCTCTCTCTCTCTCTCTTATTCACTAATCATAGTAGTTTTTTTGCCTTTTCTGCCTATCGTATTAAAAAAAAATGCAAGTATAGATATCGATGAGGGACATTGGGAGAAAAAAAGAAAGGAGATTTTTCTTTTGCCTTTTTGTTACCCTTGCATAGTCTCATTTTCTCTGTTACTATATTTTTGGAATGCATTGTAGCAAGTGTGTGTTTGTGTCAATACTACAGTCATAGGTCTCATTAAGCGATCTGTTTTTTTTCGTCGTTTTTTTTTTTTTTTTTTTTCTTTTTTTGTATAAGTGTGCTTACTCATTCTTCCAGATCATTATTACCCATGCAATACAATCAACAACCATTACCATCATCACATACTTATTTTACTCCTATTCAAACAACATCATCAATGCAATATGCAACTATATATCCAACAACAGCCCCTCCCATTCTTTCATCATCATCATCATCATCAACACAGAATAAAAAACTGCAACATAGTCATTTATCATCACAATTAACACCTATACAACCGACAAGTTCTTCATATATGTCACCAATCGCTTCACCAACAGCTTATATGTCACATGGTTCAACATCACCATCATCGGATCTTAAAGATACAGACACGGTGAAATTATTTGTTGGACAAATACCACGACATTTAGAAGAACATGATCTACGGCCTATATTCGAAGAATTTGGACAAATCTATGAATTAACCGTACTAAAAGATCGTTTTACAGGCATGCATCGTGGTAAGTAATTGAAAAAAAAAAAACGTTTTTTTTTTTTTTTATTCATTAACGCCTCTAGGCTAAATATTATACTCGCGCACATATATTTCCGGTTCTCATTTATATCAAAGCGGTAGTTTTTACATGTTTTTTCTTTTTGATCGTATTCACGTTTGGTATACATACTACAAGACAAAAAAAGGAAAATAATCGAAGGTGAATGAATGACTCGAGTCATTGTTCAATCGATTGATCGTATTTGAGATGTAGGTCGCGTGTCAGCGGCCATCTGCCCGAGCGGAACATGAAATAGAATACAGGAGAAGAAGAAGAAGAAGAAGAAGGAAAAAAAAAACGAGATTCGACGACTTGTCAAATATGTTCGTTCATGACGGCATTACTTGTTTTCGTTCGTACTGACTAGAAGAAGAAGAAAAAAATTGCAATGCCATTGCTTCTCTTCTCGCAGTGGCCGGCGATGTATAGGGCAGAAGCAAATATACGATATTAATAATCATTTTTCTTCCTGTATATAACCGATCGATGATGTTGAACAAGCTTTCGTCTATTTGATTTTTTTTTTCTTTCTTCTCTTTTTTTTTTTTTTGACAGATGGTCAACTTTTAAATATAGTTATTCATTCGATAGAAAACATTTGAATTGAATCTCACGTTTTTTTTTCTTGCTAAAATTTCATCATGTTGGTCGATACATATAGTGGTAAGAAGTTTTTTTTTTTTTTGTTTTTCTTCGTTAATTCTCTTCATTGAGTAAATTTTACTTTTCGAAATATAATAAAAACAAGATAATTTATTAATTCTTATTTTTTGTTTTGTTTTTAGGATGTGCTTTTCTTACCTATTGTCATCGTGATTCTGCACTCAAAGCTCAACAAGCACTACATGAGCGACGAACATTGCCTGGCGTAAGTATAGTAGATGTCACTAGTTATCATAGATAATATTACGAAAAATTTAAAAGTTAGAAATAAAATTCTTCCAGTAGGATACGAACGAAAGTTCATCGAAAATAAGATATAAATAGAGAATTACCAAAAATTTCAGGTGTATTATTGAAGATTATAGGAAATAAAAAGCAAAATCTTCCACCTATTGTAAAGATTTTGATACGAAAAAACAATTTTTTTTATGCTAACTTTCTATCTTATGACTTCCTATTCATATTACGAATTATTGTTTTCGGCGAACTTTCATATGATATAAATTTCAAAGTCATATTTCCATCTAAAACAAGTATCTTTTTTTTTTCACAACTCTATTCAATAATAACATGTCATTTATTCAAGTTGAAAGGATCTATAAATGATAAAATTAATCCGAGAAAATTTAGCTTGGCAATTAATTCATTCCCTATCATGCGTATGATGATAATTATTTGTTAGTAAATAAGATAATGATATTTTAAATTGAAATTATATTAGTATCTAACAATCGATATGTTGAAATCATTAGTGAAAAATCTCTTTTGTTTTTGAATAGTAAAAATAAATTGAAGATGTTTCTTTGTATTACAATAATTAAACATCTGTTCGGCATACAATTTGATTTGTTCTATTGTCATTCCATTTTAAGATAATATTCACATTCGAACAAAAAAAATATATATATAAGTTCAAAAATTAAAAGAAACCTCTGTAGTATTATAAGTCACGCTTTTATTTTTTTTCATTCTTCGATTTATATCTAATAGAAAAAAAAAACCTCAAACAGACATTAATCAATCGATGTCGACTTTTATTCAAATTTAGTTCTCTTATATACCTGAGGGATTTCTCAATTGACAAATGCATTGATTTCATTTACAAATGTTTCATATGGATGAACATTTTTACTAACTTTTCTATTCAATCTCATTCATTTGACGTCTGCTTACACTTTGCTTTGTGTGCATTTCATCTAATAAACGCGTGATGCTATTTCCTAGTCATACAATGAACATGTTTTGTGCTTTTTATAACAGCAGGCGGAAAATGCATTTTTTTTTTGCTTCGTCTTTTTTTCCATTAACTTAGATATATATTTTTTTTCTTCGCATCGTCTTGCTCTCGTCTTTTTTTTTTTTTTTGTTGTTCGGAAAATTATTTGTAGTTTGTAGAAAGCGCAGGAGAGAGAGAGAGAGCGAGTAACTATTGAATCGATCTATTCTTGTTATGCGTGTATGTTGTGTTTGAGCATGCATTTCAATTCCGACTAGCCGACGCCAGTTGGAAAGCGCGGTGAAAGCGCGCAATGAAAAGAAAATATCGTGACAACAGCACTGACACTTCTCCTTCTACTTCTTCGGAATCTTTAACTACACTTGTAAGTTCTGCATTACAATGCATATTTATATGGAAATTACTATCTTCTTTTTTTTTCTTTTTCATTCATTATACACGCTCGGTCTGAATAATTGTCTTTACGAAAAAAAAAAAGAACTAAAACTACTAGTATGTTGTCGGGACACGTGTCGATTTTCCTCTTCAATGCTACTTTGAACTTAACTGTTGAGAGAGAGAGCATACAATTACTGTCGTTCAAGTGAAAGAAAGATATGCAGATGGTCGAACTGCAACAAACATGTCGTATCCTATATCGATTGTGACAAATGTCAGATGCAAACAGAAACGGAAATCGCCTCTGGCGAGTTAGAATGAACGGTGCATTTTTTTTTTCTAGTAAAACAATAATGAATAGAAAAAAAGCGCGAGTAAAAAGGGAAAAGCAACGATGCAAAATACATATCATAGTATTGCGTGCTAAGCAATTAACTTTCGAGCTGTGTTGAATATTACTCTGGTAAAAAAAGAAAACGGAAGTGCTATATACTATGCACTAGATAGTCTTCTCATTCCAATTGCTAATTATGTGGTTCAGAAGAAACAAGCATAGAGGATTAGAGAACGAACGAGAAAAGAAAAAGTAATTACAAATAGAAAAAGGAGAAGAAAAAAAAAACCTCCAAATAACAATCTAAGGAGTAGTATCAAGTTGATATAAGTTCAATAATAAAATACAGAAAGGAATTTCTATTAACTTTGTTTTGTTTTATTTTATTTTAGATGAGTCGTCCTATTCAAGTTAAACCAGCTGATAGCGAATCACGAACAGGTAATATTATTATACTCATATTTTACTTTCTATTGGTCCTTTTTTTTTCATCGATCGTTTATTTATTGGCTGATATCGTTTTAAAAAAAAAAGAATTCTTGTAGATTAACACGACACATACACATATATACCTTAAACGGTGAATACAAGAGTAAAACTAAAAAAAAAAGAATGCAAAGGAAATGAACAAGCTTTTGTTGATGAGAAAAGAAAAAAAAAACGGAAGTGAATCGACATCAATCGAAGTCTTATTTTAAATTTATGCTTTAGTAATATTTTAAAACTAAAGGAAAGACATTGCAAACTCTTCCGCTTATTTTATTTTTTACTCCCCATCATCATAATCTGTTTTAAATAGCATCTGTTTATATAACTTTAAACGACAGCAGCAACAAAAATTAATGTGAGTTAGTCATAATATATATTTTGTCGTTATTTATTAATGGTAGTAATTGGTGCCTGTGTTGTTCCTGACCACGTTTTTTTTCTATTTCTCTAAATAAATGGTGTAATGTCAAATCGTCGTGTTGGTTTTTATGTGCTCAGCCTCATCGTTGTAAAACGTCACCAACGTCTTCTGGTCTTTTTCTTTATTTACTACTGATTATTTTTTTTTTATTAAACTTTTTTCTGTTGTTTCATCATGCCACATACACACACATATATATATATATGTCTATCAGGTTAATTGTAGTTGTAGACGAAAGAAAATTCTTTTCTTCTTTTTTGTTTTCTAACTGTAGAAAAACGGCAATGCACGCTCATAAAAAAAAGAGGAAGCCAGCAAGATGAATAAAACAAATTGTCCAATCGGTATGTGAGTGGGCGAATAGTAGGATCCTCTTTTTTTTTTTTTTTCTCTGATAGACAAAAAAGGAGCTTAATAAGATTTCCCATCGTCAACGCTCGTCGTTAGAAAAAAAAAAAAAAAAAGAAGGAAACTTGACCCGACATATAGAAAAGAGCGTCGGATAGCTAGCTAGGTAGTTGAGAAAGAGAAAAAGAAAAAAAATATATATAGGGCGAAGAAGCAGAAGCAAAAAAAGAGTGACTACTTTTTCCGGTCGACAAAAAAAAAAGAAGAACAAGAGTATAGTATATAGACGCTTGAGATTTCCGAGCAAAGAAAAGAAGAAAGAGAAAAAAAAAAAAAAAAAGAAGAAAATTTCTTTTTTTACATCTTCATCAACATTCCTCTTTCAATACCCATATTACACATCCAATGATGGTCGCAGCATCAAACGAAATTCAAACACAATATTCAATATTAAGTAATCGAATACGAAATATAGGTGAGAAAATAAAAAAAAGAAGTTCTTAAATACTCTTTTTCATTAGGATAATATATTTATTAATGAATGAGAAATCTCGACTGCTGTGTAATGAGAATATAAAATATAATAGAACAGATGAATAGAGAAAAAGAGGTGAAATATGTCACATGTCACAATACATGATTAATAAACTAGATAGCCTGCTAGGCAGAAATAGTATATCCGGTTAATAACGGTTAGAATATATATATATGTGTGTACATGTGAAGAAATGACAGATGTTTTTTAATGATGAATAAAATGTAAATGAAAAATTGAATTAATCTTTTTTTTTGTTTTTTATTTTAATAGAAGATCGAAAATTATTTGTTGGAATGTTAAATAAACAAATGACAGAAGAAAATGTTCGAACTATATTTGAACCTTATGGTACTATAGAAGAATGTACAATATTACGAGGACCAAGTGGTGATAGTAAAGGATGTGCATTTGTTAAATATGCTACGCATAATGAAGCTCAACAAGCTATACAAAATGTACATGGAAGTCAAACATTTCCAGGTGCATCATCATCTATTGTTGTTAAATTTGCTGATACAGAAAAAGAACGACAATTAAGACGTATGCAACAATTAGCTGGACCATTAGGTCTTTTATCAAATCCATTAGTTTTACAACAAATAGCTGCAAATTTAAATTATCAAGGATATACACAATTACAACAACAAGCTATATTAGCATCATCAACCGGTACACATCAAACAACATATACAACAATACCTGTTTTAACAACATCTGGTCAATCAATGAGTAATGGTACTATGACACCATCAACAGGTAAATAAAAAAAAAAAAAAAAATATTTTTTTGTGTTTCTTTTGAAATAAAAGGATAATCAAAAATAGAAGTATATTAATATTTATGTATAAATTTGAGTAACTAATCTCATAGGTGATTGTGACAATATGGACTTTCCTAATTATTCTTTAGTCAATGCATCTCCTGTCAATAATGGTCCAGGAACAATTTATCAAACAACAGGACCTGGTCCAAATGGTCAATCAACTGATTTATTTTCATCAGGCATGCAATATTCAAGTAAGTTTTTGTTTTCTAATAGTAAAAAAAAATATTAATAACTTTCTATTTATCAACATAAAATTATAGAATAGAAAATAATTTTATTCTATAACGGAAATCCTTAACTCAATATGAAGATCTAATATTGTAACTTATAGGGATTAAGGCAATGAAATGAACTAGATGATTTTTTTCTGTTTATTGTAAATATTTAATCTTCTATATAATTGGAAACAAACATTTCGATAATAATAGTATATTATATTAGGATCGATTCTTCTTCTTTTTTTTTTTTGATTGTACTCTATGAAGATTCGAACTTAAATGATATTTCATGTTCTAATACAGAACACAATGACCGTCATGATGTCATAATATTTGTGCTGCAGGGCATCAATTATGTTGCTTGTTATAACTTCATGACAATTTCTAATAGGGTCATTGCCATAGCTGAATAAATGTACTGTTCAGCACGTATCTGCAAAGTACTGTGTTCATATAGCCCTGGAGTAATCCTGAGCAAGTTATTAACAATTGTTCGTCTCGGATTACCTCTCCGATAGAATGCTGACTACACATTATGACATACACCTGCTCTTGTAATTGGTTAGTATGTATAGGAAGCTTAAGCAATTGAGTGCAAAACCTTTGCATCAGACTGACCTTCTCTTCAGGTTAGTGATAAGCGGAACCAGTCGGTTTTGGCCTTAGTTTCGCGTTTACGAGGGAAGATCCGCAAGTGATCCATAGCTTTTAACTCGGGACTATGCGCATTATGTAGGCCATAATGAGTCATGAATACCTTGAAAAAAATTCAAGCCCATGGCTTATTGCTACCGAGATATGATATTTTCTAAGTACAATGCCGTGGTCTCCCCCTCAGGAACATAAGAAAAATTGAGTTTGAAATTACGATTTGAAACTTTGTATAGTGACAGATCTTCATGAGAATAATTTATTATGAAAGTTTCAGATATTCCGATTACTCCTATTTTGAAATAAGAACTTCGAAATCTATTAGTGAGTATGCGTGATGTACAAGCATGCTTTTATCATAACTGTATTCTAGGATAGGAACAACCAAGAAATCTGAAACTTTCACAATAAACTATTCTCATAGAGCTCTATCGCAATTCCAAACTCAGGTTTTCTTATGTTCCTGAGTGGGATCATGGCACTGTGCTTAGACAATACCGTAAAAATGCTATATCTCCATAGTAATAAGCTATGGACCCAAATTCTTTTCAGAGTATTCATAACTCATTATGATCTATATAATGCACATAGTCCCAATTTAAAAGCGATGGATCACTTGGGGACCTTTTCTCGTTAGTAATACATGTACTAGCAAAAAAAAAATGTGATATTATTTTCTAGCAGTGTCAACGAAGTTGAAAAATCTCACTTGAATTTAGAACACATGAGTCTTGAGAATATGACATTTGATACAAGTTTTACACGATCATAAAAGATATCACGCTCAATAAAAAATAAAATGTTGATCCCGCCGGGACTATCTCGTTTATATCTAGTCCAAACCTACACCTAGAAATTAGTTTTAGGGAAAATATCAAACTATTGAATCTACCACTAGGCAACATTCCTTACTGTGTAAGAGGAAAGAGGCATTTCGCGCCCACTTTTCATTACGATCTCCGAACATAAGAAAAAAAAGACAGGATGTTCGTAATTATATGTACGGGAGTCCGGAATGCGAAAATCAATTAAAAATAGGGTGTTCGTAATGAACGTTGTCTAGGACAAAAATTATTTCCGAACATCCGGATATGTGACAGGAGTTCAGAATGACTTAGTACGAAATGTCCGCCACGCTACTGTAAGATAGCCAGAAATGTTCTTCCTCTGATAGAACATCAATATAGACATAATTTCAATATTATTCTAGCTGTTGTTGGTCCAACAATTGATACTGCTACTGGTATTCAATTACAACAGGCTACAGCTTATACAACATTACCTGCACAATATCCTATCTATGCTCCAGCAGCTATTTATTCTCCTTTACCAACAACAACACTTATACCGAGTGCAATGGCATCACCGGGCAAAGAAGGTTAGTAAAAAAGAAAAAAAAAAGAAAATTATTTGGATTTTTTTTGTTTCGTTAGTGAAGTTTTTTTTTTCTTTCGAAAATAATATTAATCGATTTCGATTTCATAGCTCTACCACAGTTCTTCGGTCCAGAGGGTTGCAATCTTTTTATTTATCATTTACCACAAGAATTCGGTGATTCCGAACTTGCATCAATGTTTATGCCATTTGGCAATGTTATATCGGCTAAAGTTTATGTTGATCGAGCTACTAATCAATCAAAATGTTTTGGTACATATTTTTCGTTTTTTTGTGTTTTTGAGAAAAGAGAAATAAAGAGTAAACGAACGTAAAGAAAGAAACAAAAAAAAAAGAGATTTGAACTATGTACTGGATCGCCGCATCAAGATTTTCAAATTTATTTTTTAGTTTTTTGAACTCTTTTTTTAATTCATTCATATTGATGTTGTGATGTGACAATCCAATGCAGTTCTCGTTCTTCTTTTTTTTTTTAATCTTCTTGCACGTGCGCGCTCTTTTTTTTTCATTTCTCAATTACTTTTTTTTTTTTTTGCAAACTAAATTTCAATATTTTATTTTAGGTTTTGTTTCCTATGATAATCCACAATGTGCTCAACAAGGTGAATATTTTTCATCTATAGTTTTTTTTTTGTCTATTTTATTTTCTTTCAGCCATACAATCAATGAATGGATTTCAAATTGGTATGAAACGTTTAAAAGTTCAATTAAAACGCCCAAAAGATTTAGCCAAACCATATTAAGACATATATTACATACATACACACACACACACAGTGCATTTTTATTTCTCTCTAGTCATATGATTATGTATATATAAAATGAATAACGAAATTTTTGTTTTTTTGTTTTTAAAAGGCAATCGAATGTGTGTGTGTGTTGTCTATTTCCATTCCATAACTAGTCAAAACAATATATTCCGATAGTTAAGATATTAATTTAGAATATCTTAATATTTAGATCAAAAGACAGTCAGTCATTCCTGTCAATTTTTTTTTTGTATGATGAAATTTTGTTGCGTTAAAGATTTTTTTCTTTTCTTTTCTTAAAAATATGATTATTATTTACTCGCTCCTTTTTTTTTTTTTTGCTGCATTAATACTTTGTTGATTTCTTATGTTGATCTACTGCATCTTTTTTTTTTTGCGAAGGCAAATTAAGCCTTGTATCTTCCTAGTTTTTTTTTTTTTTTTCTTTCTCTTTTAAGAATAAAATAAAATTATTAATTAGAAGAATAATCATTATGATATTAGGAAAAACAAAAAACGAAACAATCAGTTGACAAATTTAAATATTTTTATATGATTGACTTGCATAATTCGGGATAAAACCGTTATAATATGGTCCACTGGTATGTAATATTGGATGATGTCGAGATGTTAATTCAGCATCAGGATGATTTAGTCGAATAGCATCAAGATTTAGTGTATGTAGATTTGGTTCACTTCGAACTAATGGGATAATAGCTTGTTTATGTTGAGCACGACGTTGATCATATTTAGCCTGAATAATAAATGAGATTTAATTTTATATAAGAAAAACAAAAAAGATGAAAAGAATGTGTATGTGTGAAATCAAATAGACATACACTTGAAACTCGTACAAGAATTTTTGAAGCTTCTGAAGTTAATATTTAGTTGAACAAGTTTATTTTATTGCTCAATGTTTGTTGAATCCGACGTTTAATTTTATATGGAATGTAGGTAGAATTTCAATTTATTAATTAGATTTATGCAAAAAAATTCAATATATTCATTAACTCGGATACCAACGTCAATACTTCATTGATCAGAAAACGTCACAGATTTTATGCTTAGCCTTCATAGAAGGATTTATCCATATAATTCCAACTGTTTTTTATTGGATTTAAACAATTGAATTATAATCATTAGAACGTGTTTTTTTACTGGCTTCATTAACTCTTCTTTTTCCGGCTGCTTATGAGAGACCACCCGGACTGATATTAGAGACCTGCACGGAGTCGTTTTCGGAGTCGCAGTCGGAGTCAATTAAATTTTTTGCCAAAAATTTAGATTTAGCATAAGATCTTTTTTGACTTGCAGGTTTTGTTCTCTGATATTTAATGCATAAGCTAATGCATTTTGGATGTTCCAACCACATCTTATCAAGGTCTATGAACATGAAAGAAAGTCGGAGTCAGACTCAACTCCGATTTTTTTCGACTCCGACTTTCTTTCATGTTCATAGACCTTGATAAGATGTGGTTGGAACCTCCAAAATGCATTAGCTTATGCATTAAATATCAGAGAACAAAACCTGCAAGTCAAAAATGATCTTATGCTAAATCTAAATTTTTGGCAAAAAATTTAATTGACTCCGGCTGCGACTCCGAAAACGACTCCGTGCAGGTCTCTAACTGATATCCATCGTTTGAGCTCATGTGGAGTCCTCAAGGACGTTTTGATAAAACTAGAAAAGTCTAAAAGATGTTCGTCTGCATGTCCGAATTAGGATCATTTTACTGAATTTTCAAATCAACCTTAGGTATATATCGAAAAATCAACAAAAAAAAAACAAAATTTCGACGTGAAATTTTGCTCATAAATATATTCTAAAAGTTTCAGCTAAAAAGAATTTCTGTTTGTTGTGATACTGAATTTCCAAAAGTTCTTCTCTTGCCACAGGCATGATACAAAAGTCGAGTTTATTTGAAAATTCAATAAAACAATCCTAATTCGGTCATGAAGACGAACCTTTTTTGATTTATTCTAGTCTCACTAAGACTTCATTGTATATGAAATTCAAAAAATTATCTATAACATACTTTATTGTAATACATAACACCAAATAAAGCTAAACTCATACCAATAACATTTGCCGTTGTTACTGGATTTCTTAATATTAATAATGAAATACAAATAACAACAATACGTTTTGTACTATTCGCTATACTATAAGATAATGGTGTTACAAGTGAAATCATTGTAAATGCTACAACATTATGTAAAAAATTAAGTATACCATCAATAGATAAATAAATAAAAACTTTCATTGCTCTATTATAAGCATGCTAAATAAAGAAAAAAAAGAAATATATTTGAATTGTTTTTTTCATGAATTCTATTTCCTAATCACCTACTCACGTATTTCGTATTATAATATATATCTATTCCATCATAAAAAAACCAAAAAGGTACAAATAAGCACCATGATATTTTAGCTAATAAAGCAAGTAATGTAAAATGATGAATTGCAATATCTTTTAGAGACTATTAAAATAGAAATAAATAGATATGAACAAAAAAAAAATAAAATCTACTTTTTTTGAATAAATATTTTGTAATGAAAATCCAAATGTTGAAAGTAAAGCACTAATAAGACCAATGAAATTAAATGAAATTTCTGTAACTGTTGCTATAATTACACCAACAATAATAGGAACAAGTGAAAAATAAACAGAAAATGATTGTTTTTCACGTAGAATTAAACGAGATAATATTCTAGATAAACAAAATATAGAATTATTTTTTTTTTATCAAAGAAATTCTACGGTTAAGAATATTTAATAGAATGATGAATATTCATTATCTTTCAGAGATTCGCATTGCGATAATATTAGTGCTAGATTTTCAGTCATGATGGACATCTATAATTAAGAAATCAAATTTTTGATATGATGAAAATTTTATTTTTAAACTCGATTCAATACATCTATAAATACTCTTCAATTTTCTATAATCGATAGTTACTACGGAACAAGTACATATCAACGTGAAGCTTTCTCGAAAATTGCATACTATCAATCACTATACATTTCCCATGTAACATCTTTCAGAACAATAGGAACTCATTGCCAACTCGCAAGATTATTCCCTAGAATAGTCTACTTTCTACATCCATACCCAACATGTTGACAACACTCAACATTCCCATATGTATCAATAATCAGTAGAAATTGATATTAATAACTTCTTTATAGATGGAAAAGAATTTTTTGCTCGTCAACCTTCTGGAAGAAAGTATGGGTACATGATTGTATGAAGGAGTTCTATTATTTCTTTTTCAAATTTTTATTCCGAACATCTAAGTTTGATTTTTCTATATTCTCGTACCTCCTCTAGGAGTCCGGAGGCCAAAAAATTTTCTTTCATTGATCAAGAAGTTATTAACCCTTTGACGGCGAAGTTTTTTCATAAAAAAAATGAAATTCTATTACCAAAGTTAATTATATTTTGAAAATTACTAATGATCATAAGTGTTGCACTTAGACCTTATTTAAAAGATGCAGCTGATTTATTTTGAAACGAAAAATTTATCAAAAGTATGAAACCAATTATGCAAAGACCTACATCACAATCTTTACATATATAACACATCTTTTCTTTTCATTGTTTGAGATACGAGAGAAGGAAAATGTTTAGCAGTGAGTGTAGTTAGTTTACAGCTCTGTACAGATATCACCCAATTGTAGTTTTTAGAGTAATGATAGCTTTGTAAAATTTCACGTATAAGTTGTAAACGAAAGTCTATCAATTCAGGTCTCTTTTCGATATTTATTTTGTAAAGCAAATAGAAGTTGAAGACTAATAAATCAAACATATGAAAAAATAATTTTCTATACCATTTGACAAATTTTCTTACATAATTAACAAAGCTAAAGTCAAGGACAAAAGTTTAAACTCAAAGGTATTTTTGATTTTTTTTTTTCAAAAAATGCTATGTACTTAGCTTTAATACAAATAGCAGTTTTAATAGTCAATGGAGTTTCACATAAAATGCATTGTATATCAATATTTCATAGATGTACTATGACGGGAAGGTTTCTAAAAAATCGGACACGGTAGTTTTCAGATCATAAAATTGGGTTCGCCGCACTTTCTACGATCTTTCTTTAGAAAGTTACAAGCAGCACAAAAACCAAAGTTTTTCAAAAAAATGCTAAAACTCGACTTTTTCCGGTTTTTGTGCTGCTTATAACTTTTTAACGAAAGATCATAGAGAATGTGGCGAATCCTCATCTTGTTCAGAATTTTATGCTCTTTAAGATAGCACTATTAAAAAATAGCTCCGACAAAGTCTTTTATGATCTGAAAACTACCATATTTGATTTTTTAGAACCTTGCTCATTATAGTACATCTATGAAATATTGGTATATAATGCATTTTTGTAGGAAGTTTCATTAACTATTAAAACTACTATTTACATTAAGGATAGGTATTTAGCATTATTGAAAAATAATCAAAAATATCTTTGAGTATAAACTTTTGTTCTTGACTTTAGTTTTGCATGTCAATTGCTCTTCTTTTAGAATTATAATTAAACATCGAAACTGATTTTAAAATTGGTCGTTTAGTTTTTGGATCATTTTTTCTAGTAAATCGTATAATGAGATTGATGAATAGTAGATAGCATTATAACTTCTCTTTTCTCATACTATTCTAGCGCCTACAGTATGCCACTAGTGAGCTTCATCAAGTTATCGTTATATACTATAGATGGAACTAGTGAATAATCCCTTTACTAACCTATTGAAATTTTGAAGCCATATATATATATGACCTTCGCCGTCAAAGGATTAATATCAGTTCATTAGAGACACTATGCTGATTATTGATGTGTAAAAATTTTTAATAAAAATGTTGACTATTCTAAAGGATAATCTTACAAGTTGGCAAGAAGCTCTTACGGTTAAGAAAGATGTTATATGTGATTTTTGAGAAAACTTAAAGCTAGTGGTCACTTGTTCTGTGACATAGAACTGAATTCACTGGAATATCAAGTAGTCAAGAAATAATCTAGCCCTAAGAATAGGGACTATTTTTAAAGCAACAATGAAAACTACATATATGTTATTCTAATTCAAGATGGATCACTGAATATGACAAGGTCTTTTACACATATGTTGTCTTATCTATTTCTTATATAAATCTTTTAGATATAATTAAATAAAAATCTTACACAGTGAACAGAGGCATTGTTGCTTTGACTGTATGAGCATAAGAAACCGGTACTTTCCAAAGACTAACATGAGATGAAAGTTGTGCAAGAAATTTGCCAATTGATAAAGGAATAATAATTTTAAAATAATATATACGATTTTGATAAAGATAATCAGGCGGTGGAACTTTCCATATTCTGAATAATAATAAAGATAATAAATTGAATAAATTAATATTAACGTATATATATAAATGCATACCGAAGAAGTGGAATACTTAAAATCCAGACACTAAAAAGTTGTACAAGTGTAACTGTTAATGGAAATGGAAATTCATTAAGTAATTCTTTAACAATAACATTGCCTGCGGCTGATACACCTAATTGAATTAAAATAAATAATATATATATTAGAAAGAATAAGAGAAGATTGAATAATTTACTAACCATACCAGACCATACATAGACTAACTATTTGAAAACCTTCTGCAATTAATGAATCTCGATGTTTAATCATTCTGATAATAGTATTCAAATTATTCAATAAATTATATTGATTATAATTGTCTGTATGTATTTTATCATTATTTTTTCATTTGTTGATAATACAAAATAAAAATTAATTTGAGATATATATATCTAAACATGTTTAATAAGTAAATAGATAAATATTAACATACACGGAAATTATTTTTGTAATTATCTATTCGCTATAGATATCAATAATGTGATAAAAATTTACCTATGTCATGCAAAATGATTGAAATATGAAGACAAAATAAAACCAATAGGATAACAAAAGAAGAAAAGTGTGTACGTGTACATGATTGATTCCTTCGTTCTCTTCAAACGATACTATAGAGTTTCTTTCTTTGGCTTATGCCTTCACCATATACTTTGACAGATGTCGTAAGTAACAAACTATCGTTAGTATTAAAATTGCTTTCGTTAGGAACGATTAATAGTTGAATGGCAAAATACATTTTCCTAAAAATTGTTTTAAACGATTCAGATAAAAACTCTGGCTCGATTGTTCATTATCCATGTTCTTTTCATCATTTACACAAATAAAATTCACAATGAGATTAGTTAATTGAGTAAGATAGTAGAACAATTCTAACTTTCACAATTAACTAATCTCATTGTGAATTTTATTCGTGCAAAGTTTGAAGTCGAAAGTCAATTTTTCATGTAACTACAACTTTTTTTTGTGGAAAAATCCAGTAGAATTCCAATATCTCAAGAACGAAGATCTGGAAAAGTAAATCATTCTAGACTTTTCTATTACTCATCGAATGAACATTGTCTCAATCGAAAAGTGATTTGATATCTGGAGACGTTCTCTCGTCAGCTGGATTGACATTTACTCAAAAATGAATATGTTTATCACTAAATCAAATTGATAAAACATTATTTATTTGTTTATACGACAAATTCAAGAAAAAGTAATAAAAAACAAAGAACTCTCTAGTGTCACCAAGAATTGAGATTTAAATGAAATATTAGTACAGGGCTTGTCAAAATTATAGCCCCCCTCCATGTGTCATCGGATTTTTTCTATGAAAACGAGCTGCTGGATCAAATGTAAGTAGTGATTTCGATAGCTTTCGAAGTTCTCTATCGATTGCAGTATATTGAAAAATTTCAAAGATGACTTCACCACCAGATTTTTTCGAAAATGCGTGAGACACCCTTTTTGACTTTTGAAACGGTTTATCAGACACCACTTTCAATGCATCCATCTGATAGAGCTGAAAATTCTGAGCAAAATGAGTGGTCGCACGACTCTCCACGACTTTCCAGTGAGAAATTATAAGTATGTGAAAAGTCGCAAAACTTGTGGAAAATCGACTAAAAACACGTTTTTTTTACTTTTGACATACTTATAATTTCTTACTGGAAAGTCGTGGAGAGCCGTGCGACCACTCATTTTGCTCAGAATTTTCAGCTCTATCAGATGGATGCATTGAAAATGATGTCTAATAAACTGTTTCAAGAGTCAAAAAGGGTGTCTCACGCATTTTCGAAAAAATCTGCTGATAAAGTCATCTTTGAAATTTCCCAATATACTGCAATCGATAGAGAACTTCGAGAGCTATCGAAATCACTACTTACATTTGATCCAGCAGCTCGTTTTCATAGAAAAATCTGATGACAAGGGGGGTCTATAATTTTGACAAGCCCTGTAGAATCAATCATTACAACAAGTATCTTAAAATACTTTGTACTATGTGTTTTTCAGTTATTTCCGTTTTTTTTTTCTATGGAAACTTATTTTATACAATAAGTGATAAAAATTTTCAAGTTCTATAAAGCTGATTTCTATTTTCTTTTTATTCTCTAAAAAAAAAATGTTTCACATGAAAAGTAAAGACGAACAAATACTTACATCTGACATCAATATCATAAACATGCATGTTGTGCAACTTTTCAGAAGGTCAGATTTAAAATGGATACGACTGAATCACTATATAAGACTATTTAAATAGTAACAAATTCACAAATAGTTTCAAATGTCAATGTAACTATTCAAGAATAGTTTACACACAAATTTATTGTAATATAATATTACATATGTGATTCAATGTAAAACATTCGTTTTAACATTTGAAAAATTCTTACTTTTAAAATTAACAATAAGAAATAGAAAATACTACGGTTTACATACTTCACTCGGGCGCTCAACAGAACCCACTAGGTTGATTCACGTCCAAAAATTGTTCACCCAACGAGCTCTCATCATTTGAGAAATGTGTAGGAATGCGCTAGTCATCAAATACAAAAAAGAACCATCTTGTATCTTCGGGACAATTATCAAATTCAGATTAGAATATCAAAATATGGTTCGGATCTCAACAGCGTTCAATAAATTGAGTCCGGCTTCGGAAATTTTGAATGTGACGGGCTGTAACACTCAATCAATCGAGTTAGACCTTCAAATGTAAAGAATATCTTTCATACTTTTTACAAACGATGTGGTCATGCGTTACGGAATTTCATTTTTTTTTTTCGCTCGAAGATCGTAGTTTAAATCAGGATGAAAATATAAAAATCAAAAACAACTCGATAAATGAAAAAGAATTTTTCAACTTTTTTGACTCGAGAAGTTTTCAAGAAAAATAAAAGTTAAAGTTTTAATTAACTAAATACTCCATATTATTCAATAATCAATGCTAATTTCAAATACATGCACACTTATAAACAACGGTCCCCGAGAAATTAAATGTATCTTATTTTACTTCTCTATACTCATATCTTTTCTACAGTTTTAACAATAGGAAGTATAAACCTAACAGAGTGTGCATGAGAGTGAAGCCTCTCTATTTCTAACCCTAAAGGGAATAAAATTTATAAAAAGTCCTGAAGTAAAACAGAATAAATTCAATTTCTCATGAACCCCTCAGTTTTTTTTTTGTATTCGGTGACTAATGCACCGTATACATTTGTCAGATGGTTAGAATCTATCGGATGCAACATTTTTGGACTTGGTTAATAGAAAATTTCAGACCCGGACTAACTCGACAGATTGTATTGATGATATATTCCACTATTATCTTTTAAACAAATTTTTTTAGTTGTTCACTCTAAGAAAGATTTCGTATGTCTAGAACACTCAATACTACTCAGGAATATAGAAAATGCTTTCATCTTAAATACTATCAATCGTTATCTTGTCAATGGTATACTCAGTTTTCTTCACGTTTAAACTATTTACTATTTAATTTTATGTTAAAAAAAGAATCCATCTAATTCTGCCATCTGTTGAAGAAAACTATTATTTGATCGGAATATTATCAAATAAACTTATTTCTCTTCATCTATATATATATATATGTAATGCTTTTGAAATAGATAGTACGTGGTCTGGCGAAAAAAATGTAACTAGAATCACCAATTGACTACATGATACACTACCAGTGGCGACGTCTAGTTCACATCTTCACATCAGAAAAAAAAATGATTATAGAAATACTTTATATTAAGTTCTCTTTTAATCTGTATATTTTATTTTCGATCAAACTGAGTTTCACGCGGAAGATGTCCCTACACTACAGCTGTAAAACTAGCTTCATATCAATACAGAGGAGGCTGTGTCATAATAATAAAGTGTGTAATGGCGTCGTTGTAAACAGTATCTTGGCTTTTCACTATCAAGCTGTCATTCATATGGATTAGTTCCTTGCTATTAGCTGCAAATTATCAATATCAATATTATTGTTCTTGTTCATTTGATCATGACAATATCAGGGTTGCCAAATCTCCTGGTTTGACCAGGAGACTCCTGATTTTTTGAATTTTCTCCTGATTAAAATTCTCCTAAATTCAGGAGCTAATTTTCGTGATGTTCTCCTAATTTTAGTTTATTTTCTTAATTGATGATGAAAGTCAATCATATAAAAAAAAAACGACGAAAAATTCTGTATTGTAATCGATTTTTCTCCGTTTAAAAGTCGACCGAAATGATAGGGTTTTACTTGGATTTTTTGAATTGAATTTGCTTTATTTGACTCCTGGAAATTCGAATCCATTTCAATCAATTTGTATCAACTTTTAATCAATAAAAATTGGTTTCCATGAGATTTTAATCTAGTTTATAGATATTCAGCTTATGTGACTAAATATAAATTGATGTTGTGTCATAGGCAGAAGTACATAAGAAGGCCAATACTATCTTGACCAATCTGTTGACGTGAGAAATCAGAAAATCAATTGAAAATTGAACTTTTCAAGGTAAAACTGGGCAATACCTTTCATAGTCATGGGAATTATAAATGATTGAAAACAAAATCCACGACTGACAAATTTTGTTTTATCGCCATAGGAGGATTTTAAAAAAGATAAAAGATTCAAAAAGACTAGAAATCTATTTCATGATTCAATAGCTATAATATCCAACAAAGAAATATAATTTGTCGTTATTAATAAGTTCTTTTGCATATCGAATATTTATGAGGTGATAATCACAAGATGATGAAAGGAGATTCAGTTAGAGTAACTAACAATTAAAATGAATAGTCGTCACGCTTGTTCGAAGTCTTATGACTAGTGTTTAAATAAACGAGATCATTTGAAACAGATCTTATTACCAGATAAACATTGTCATTATATGAATGATCATCTTTCTATAATTTTAACTCAATAATACGAAAGTTCTTTTACCACCACCTTTACCTGGACGAGTAAGTTCACTTTATGGGCGAAAAGTGGAATTTTATGGATGTAAAATCATAAATCACGCTTGAACTTCAAAGAAAAATCTTCTGATTTTTCTCATGTTTTAGAAAAATAAATCCCCTGAAAACTCCTATTTTTTTACAAAAATCTCCTGATTTTCAAAATTGGAATTTGGTAAACCTGGACATTATTTGATTTTCCATATTATCATTAGAAGACAAGAAATCTAACAATTTCTGAAGTGAGGCTTGGTCCCCACAAAATCTTTAGACAGATCCAAAAATGCCCTATCACGACTGATTTTTAGATGAATTGATTCTGCAAAATCTTCATGAAGCTCTGTTACACATATATTTAGTTATTTTGTTTAGGTCTGAAAGATCGTATTTTCATATTGAAAGAGAATGTTAAAATTATCAATAAATTAAGAATTAGTTGAATAAATATATTGAAAATAAAAATATCAGTGTACAAATATAGCCGAAAAAGTAGATTAGTTTTAATTGTATATGACCACAATAATTGATGAAAAGGTTTCCAAAGTAGTTATGGTAATTAATTCAATATAATTAATTAATAGTTTACTTTAAAATGAAAAATTATTCAAAGCGACAAAATGATAGAATAGATTTAATTGCTTTTCGAGATGAATATCTATGCATGAGAATTTCTCTTTGTGTCACTTGTCAGTGTCTATTTCCGCCATTATACGTTCATAATCAACATCAACGTCTTTACATACAGTTATCTACGCTATCCTATAGATGTCGCTGGATAAAACTCTGTTCTTAGGCTCCATCAGAAAGATCTGATATTAAGAAAAACATCATTTTAGATAGAATGAATTTTCTGAAAAATATGAGCTTCTAAAATAGAGTTTCATCTGTAAGTGCATAAGTGAGGGTCAAATCTGTAGTCACATCGATGAGTCATAGATATGTGGCAATAGACTAAGATTGATTTGAAATTATGTAAGATTATAGTTTTTTTTCTTTTCAACGAACAAAAACAAAAAAAATGAATAATAATGGAAATTTTATCAATATATCCGATCCATTGATTATGCATAATCAGTGTTCACCATTAACGAAACAATCATATATAGATCAAACAACTCAATATGATCAATCACAAAATCTAATATCTAATCCTCTTCTTTTTCATGATCCAAAATCATTAGTAAATTTAATCAAATTTCATATTCTTTTCTTTTTTTTTTTATTTCTTGTGACATTCTTCCTTAGATGCAATTACCTAAATCTGAAAAACGTAAACAAGAAAATTTAATTTGTGATACATGTGGAATTGAAGTTAATTCACAGCAAATGATGGATGCTCATATTCGTGGGCAAAAACATATGAAAAAAATGAAACTTAAAACAGTATAAACACTTCTAAAAAGAAAGAAAATCAAATAACATCTTTTCGTATATGTCTATAGATTGAATTAGCTAATCATACATCTGACAATATTGATATCAATCAAAAACCTGTAGTATTATCAAATTTCGAAAGTCAACAAAATCAACCATCGACTTCATCTAATAAAAAAAGTGCTCTACAATTAATAAATGAATTAGCCAATTTTAATAAGGTCAATATAAAAGATAAAATAAAAAAAAAACTTCTTCTTTTTTCTTTGTTTTATTTTAGGTAACTACTAAATATGATTTAATAAAAGAAACTGGTCCAGCACATTGTAAACAATTTGAAGTACAATTAACTATTGCCAATGAAATTTATACAGGTATTGGAACAAGTATTAAACGAGCACAACAAGTTGGTTAGTATTATAAATAAATTAAAATTATTATTATGATTTTATTTTTATCTAGCTGCTGAACAAGCTTTAATAAATACGATATTGAAAAAACCTGAACAAAAACAACGTAAATTAAACTCATCACAAATGATACCTACAAGAGAAAGTAAGTTTAATTCATATATGAGTAATTTCATTCATTAGCGATATGACATAAAAACGAATAAAGTTTAAACAATATTATTGAAAATTAAATAGTATGTTATGTAGTGAACTTTTCACGATAGAAAATCTCTATACAATGTTTTACCTAAATATGCTTAGATTTTTTTGACAAAAAAATTGAGTTTATTTATTGTAAGTATGGATATAGAAGTAAAAAATCATCTTGTAACTGAATGAGGAATCCAAAAAAAAACGATTTCAAATGGTACAAATTCTTCTTGTGGATTGCGAGATGATTGTAAAACAAAAATTCTCACTCCCGGACAAAATAAGATCTTTGAAAAACCGGTTTTTAGGAGACAATTTTTTCAAGTATGATTAGAGAATTATTTGCTAATTGTGCTTTAATTAATCAACTAGTTAAGTTTAATTAAATGCAAACTGAAACAGCTAACAGTTTTACATATATTCATGTGAAAAGAACTTATTCAAAAAATTAACTCTTATAAAGAATCAAATTCGAATCGAATATAATCATAGTCCGTTTTTGTTGATTTTGCTCATATATGAATGAGATTCGTTCATTTTCAATTTTATTTTTAATTTGAGTAATTGATCGAGAGATAAATAAAGTGATAATCAATGATTGTCTCTTGAAATGTTTCTGCAGTTTTATTTGTCTAATATTGTATTTTTTTTTTCTTTATAATTTATATAAATAAAATAGACTAATTCGACAGACACGTTGAATTTGTACACAAAAAAAAACAAGATAATAGACACACTTTTAATTCATTGAAAAAATTCTTATTCACAGATATTGCTGAATCTATAAAAGAACAGCAAACTGAAGAAAGATATCATACTTTTAATTATTGTGTATAGCCAATTCAATTAGAGCGATTTCCATTTAACTTGACATAACATTTATAGAATCATTGAAAGTTCTTGTTAATAAAAGACCTACTCGATTATATATTTTAACTTCATTAAAACTATTCGTAACATCATAAACAAAACAAAAAATGACTTTCATGTAAATCATATAAAATTATTCTTCGAACTTTATTGAGATAAAAAAAAAATATATTTCTATCATTTTTGATTAGTTCAAAATACATCAGAATCAAATCAATGGTAAGTATATGTCTATATAGAAGTGAAAGAAAACTTGATTATAGTCATATCGAACTATAAATATAATTTAAATAAGAAAATTTTCTACAATCAAGTTTTTTTCTTCGAGAATTGATTCTTAAAATATTTTATTTTAATTTCAGGTTTTTGTTTTTCTTTTTGTTTTAGTGAATTCAAATAATTCTCAACAACAAATAAATTTGATTAATGAAAATAAATTTGAAATTCTTTTAAATAAAAAACATATTGAAATAACTGAATATGATAGTACAATAATAGCATTAAATAATTTTGTTGAAGATACACAACGAGCTATGAAATATGTTTCTGATCAAATGATGGAACAATATCAACTTAAAAATATACGTGTTGTACCACAATTATTAGATAGTATTCAATTAAATGATATTAAACAAATTGATGAAAATTCATCAGAATCATTTCGGTATAGAAAAAGAAAAAATAAAATTTATTTTTTAATTTTTCTTTTGAATAGAATGCTTAAAGGTGTTATGAAAATATCCATTTTAGCAATGCGTCTTTATCTTAAAACTGATCATGAATATACATTAGTACTTATTTGTGCTAATAAACCAAATGTAACATTACTTAATGATATTTGTCGAGAATTAAATATTACATTGAATAAACAAATTATTTCTTCGAATGAATTTGATTCTACTAAACAACAACAACAATCAATACGAAATATTTATCAAGTACAAGCTCATATAGTTGATGGTTGTTTAACTGTTAAATCTAGTCATTTACCTCAACATACTATTCGAATAATATTAACATCACCAGTATTTCATAGCGAAGATTTTCTTAATCATGATGAAAAAACTAATGAAAAACAAATAGAATTAAATCCTGATCCAACAGATATGCTCGATAAAAATAAATGTTTACAAGCAGCAGCTGAAATACGTATGTATATCTATATATCTAAATCATTTCATACTTGCATGTATCACATCGTCTTAAGAAACTATGTAGTAGACGTTCTTTCTAACTAAATTTCTACTTCCGGAATTTATCCACAAAAACGTCACTCTACAAACTTGAACAATTATAGATCTGCTCACGAGTATCGATTATGAGAAAAAAAATTCGTATGTATCTCTCTTAAAAATAACATCTTATTTTCATGAGAATGATAAAAGAATTCAATAAAATCTTGTAAATCGGTTAACTAGAAAAATTCTGAATAGAAGGAAGATGATCTCCTAACTAATAAAAATTCAACTTAATGAATCTCTTTTTATATTTAGGTCATTCCAATTGGTTTACAGGATGTATGTTTAATCATAATTATAATATAATTGTTCTTCGACTTTTACGTCATTTACAATATAATAATCAAACTCCTTTATCTTATCTTAATCTTTGGTGTCTTGTATTACTTGTTCATAAATGTCAAACTCAACCAATAAATTCAATTACAAAACTTTTTCGTTCTGTATTTACTTATTTAAGTAGTGGTATTCTATTACCTAATAAACTTGGTCTAGGTATTATTGATCCATGTGAAAAAGATCCTATTGATGTTGCTAATTATTTAACTAATGAACAACGTTCAATTATAACAACTTATGCTCAGAATATTGAACGTTTAATTACTTTTGAACAATTTGATAAAATATTTCCTTTAAATCAACAAACTGATTAAACATTAAAATAATAAAGGATTTATTTTGTTGTAGTTTGTTTTTTATTTTATGTTTCGTAAAATGAAAATAAAATATGTTTTTTTCTTTTTTTTCAGATTGAAATAAATCGAAATGAAACGTTCATATTCATTTTTAAATTCATCTTTAACAAAACGTTCAAAAATACAACATAATTCAATAGAAAATTCTTCATCATTAACATCAAATTCATTAAAATTTTTTATTGAACAAACAAAAAATTCTTTTATTAATTATTTTCATATGCCACCAATTATATTTAAACATCAATTATATTCATTTAAATCAAATAATCGTACATTAATTGATTGTGAATTACAAGATATGTTTAATAATAATCAAATACGTTTATTTCATTCAGATTTTGGTATTATGTTAATGTTTACAAATGATTATCATTTATTAATTGAACGACAATTAAATGAAAATAATTTATCATCATTATCAATAGAAAAAAATCGTTTAAAACAACGTTTCATTCAAGATTTATTACCAAATAATATACGTTTATCAATTGATAAATATATATTAGAAAATAAATATCAATTAAATTCAAATGATATTCATTTACTTATACAATTAGGTTTACTTTTACCAAAACAAATTGATCAATATTGGTTTTCAATACCAAATTTATCATCATTTATAACATGTTTAGAAAAAGGTCGACGTACACTTTTACAAATGTTATCAAGACGAATGTATAAAGAAATATCAATGAATGAATTTCGATTAAGAGATATTAAAAAAAAATGTTTATTAGGATTTGATTATCATATTCATGATCTCATTGGAACAAATTTAGCACATATTATTGATGCACCTACAGGTTCTATTGTTAAAATAGGACCAGAAAAAGTTTAAATAAAAAACGATCATATATGTATATAGATTTTTTTATTATTATTATTGTTGTTGTTGTTGTTGTTATGCTATTTAAATCCGCATTTACTAAATAAAATATAATGTAAAGATCTATTATGCTACTATCTTCTGTACTCAACGTTATTACAATTTTTTGTTTTTTATTTTTTAAGTTCAATAAAAAAAAAAAATAATAATAATAACATTAGATAATATCATACTTCATAACATGTATTGGTTGTAATATATAATGATTACAACTAATGTCGTCCTTTCATGTCAAATAGATGAGTATAACCATGATTCAATATTCTTTCGATTTTCCTTTGCCTTGATGCAACCATGAAGTTGAAACAATAGCTACGTTTCATTTTACTTGGTTCAGTCAATTAATGATATATTATTATATTGAAAATATTTTTATATCAAATTATCTTTTAGTTTATAGAAAATACATGAATTCAATATTTTAAACTTTGTGGATTGCACATGAAAAATTTTTGTCTTTCAATTCTTCTTTACTTATTGAATAGAGAAAATAAACATAATTTTTGTTTGTAAAGTTTCTTATCATATTAACTAAAATTATATTAAAAAAATCACACAATCAAGACGAAACAATACAGAAAATAAAATAGTAGCCTACGATAATTGAAATTACAACAGGCATTTATAAAGCAATAAAACAAGAAAAAAATAGACTATACAAAATACAATAATATTTCTTTCATGTAACAGCTCACAATGTTCTTGGAGCTTTCATCTTTGATTGGTTACTTTTAATTTTTCATAGAAAACTGATCAGTTGTATGTTTCATATGATAGTTGACCATTGACTCCTCCAACATGTCTATCTAGAAATAGATGAATACAATTTAATAATGATATCGATAAAATGATAGTGTTCATCAGAACGCATACTTACTGATGAATCTGCAATATTCATCTTGATCAAAGACACCATCATAATTAGTATCAGCAGCATGGAAAGCATCATCAAAACGAGTAGTCCCATTAGATGAGATGTTTGATGCTATCAATGATGAATCACCATAACCAGCACCTAGATCATCAACAAAGCGACCCCCTTCCCAATCGGCAACATCTTCTGACGAGAAGGTTAATGCTGCGTACGATGAGGATGAACTGAGCCTACCACCGAGAGCAAGACCAGCATCAACAGCCTCAGCATCTCCAGCAACAAGACCAGTACCAGCCTCCAAACCTAATGGAGCATCAAATGATTCTTCGCCATATGCACTAGCTGTCTGATCAACAGCTATACCACCTGGGGCTGACTACAAACAGAAAACGATGATTATTTAGAAAAAAAACAAGAATACTATGATAAACATACGATATTTTCAACAACACCAGCAGCACGAGCTTGTGCAACAAGTGAAGCACCATCAAGTAGATGAGCACCATATGTTTGAACATAAAGAGCTGGGTTAGCTTGAACAACACCAAGACGATGGAATTGACGGACAACGCGAACTTGAGCTTGGTCATATTGGATGACAACATTTCGTGGAGCCGGGTATGGTGGTGGAAGAGGAGCACGTTGAACAATAGTACGTCGTCTAGCTTGAGGTCCATATTGAATCCAACGTTCAATGACGATGTCACCTAATATGAATGATTAATATGATAAGAACACTAGAAAAAATTAGAAAAGAAACTACTAACGTGGTCTTGGTGGAGCGGGTGGGAGACGTTCGATAATGACTGATCGTGGTGGAATCGGTACAACGGGCAAATAACGAGTAACTGTTTGAGATGCAATCACTGGTGGTGGTATTGGTGGTCTTTCACGAAGAACAAGTGGAGGTGGTGGAGGATGAGGTTGAGTTCGATGACGGATACGAAGTGGTGGGAGTGGAGGTGGTTGAGGTGGACGCAC